GCCCTCCCCAACAGCCCTGTACATCTACCCAAACAAAGAACTGGAGCAGTTCAGCACAATCTCAAAAGCAATTCCAGACAGGGAATACTGATTCAGCCAATGATGCACACATCCTATTCATTATTTTTTTAAAAAATCCTTTAACTTCAAAAGTCATCTAGTAGTGCAAGGAAACAAAATCAAAGACGGAGGCTAAGGGGTGACCTTTTCGAGGTTTATAAAATCATGAGGGGCATGGATAAAATGAATTAACAAGGTCTTTTTCCCAAGGTAGGGGAGTCCAAAACTAGAGGGCATAGGGTTAAGGTGAGCAGGGAAAGATTTAAAAGGGACCTAAGGGGCAACTTTTTCACGCAGAGGGTGGTGTGTGTATGGAACGAGCTGCCAGAGGAAGTGGAGGAGGCTGATACAGTCACAACATTTAAAAGGCATCTGGATGGGTATACGATTAGGAAAGGTTTAGAGGAATAGGGCCAAACGCTGGCAAATGGGACTAGATTAATTTAGGCTATCTGATCAGCATGGGCAAGTTGGACCAGAGTCTGTTTCTGTGCTGTACATCTCTATGACTCTAAAAACATATGATCAGAAATTAGGAGATATCAGACAGAGCAAAAGAGGTAAATCTTCAAGGAGGAAAGGAGGGAGAGAGACAGGAGGTTCAGGAAGGGAACTCCCGAGCCTGGACTTGATTGCCTGGCTGCTGTCAATGAGGCAAAGGGACAGAGGCGCACAGAGGCTCCAGTCAGACCAAGACGACAACAGAAATCCAGTTTTGCTTTTCATTATTCATTCATTTTGAGGCTATGGACATCACTGGCCTGCAAAAAGCCTTTGGTTGAGTGCAAAAATCAAGGTTGATGTTCTAGCTGCAGTATGTGCTGTCTTTTGAGAAGACATTAAACAGAGATCCAGACTGCGCGTTCAAATCCCAATGGCCACTTTTTCAACTATGAGTGAAGAATTAATTCCAATTTCCAAGCCAATGCTGAATCCTCAATTAACATGGAGTCATAGAATTTTATAGTATGAAAAAGGCCTTTTGGCCCATTGTGTTGACACTGGTCATCAAGCATCAACGTATTCTAATCCCATTTTCCAGCACTTGGCCCATCACTGCAACAGATGAAAACTGAAAGAACTGTGGATGCTGTAAATCAGGAACAAAAACAAAGTTGCTGGAAAAGCTCTGAGGAAGGGTCACCGGACCTGAAACGTTAACTCTGTTTTTTCTTTCACAGATGGTGCCAGACCTGCTGAGCTTTTCCAGCAACTTTGTTTTTGCCACAGATGATCTGGTCATTATTATTTTGCAGTTTGTGGATGGCTGCTCTGTACAAATTGCCTGCCGTGTTTTCTGCATTAAAACAGTGACTACACTTCAAAAGCACTTAATTGACGACAAAGTGCTTTGGGATAACCTGAGGCTGTGAAAGGCACTATGGCAAGTCTTTCATTCCCCCTTTCTGAACCACTGCAATGTTCTTGGAACGTTATTCAGCTGAGTGCTTGTAAGGCTGGTTAACAGTTAGTATGGGTCTGGAAATTGTACACAGGCCCAGAGGAGGTTATTAGTGAACCATTTGGGTGCTTATATCAATCCAATAGGTCTACTGATACTTATAAGATACCAGTTTCTTTTCCCCACATCTTCTTCCAAATCAAATTCATATTCCTAAAACTATTTGAGTGAGATTTGGATTTGCCACTCAGCCTCTGAACAACTGGCCCAATAACACATGAAAAATAAGATCATGCTCATATGCTTCAATCTGATAAACAGAACTTGGTTCTTAAAAAAAGACTTTTGTCATCCACAGTAACTGCAACGTCATTACGGCATTTATTTTTGATACTTTTTAACAAAACACTAATCCTAATGGCAAACTAGTCCAACTGCAGTTTGAAAATATCAGCCACAACAAGAATTCAAAAATATCCTCGAATTAACAGCAGATTAAAGTCCAAGTGAGACATTTATCACATTGAGAAATGTGATTGCAAGTGGTAAAATGGACTCTATAAAGGGCAATTATTTTATTAATTTAAAAATCTCATTATTTAATGGAGCATTCAGACAACTTACTATAATTCACAACTTCAGAATAAAGCTTGTTTCAACATTGTACACACTTTCATCAAGACTCCATTACACTTGAGGCTTTGTTATACTTTGCAATATCTCAATAGAAAAATCAAAACCCATGGGTTGGTACAGCTCTGCTAGTAATTAGAACCTTACTTAATCTAGGAGTGTTGAGAAAAATGGACCCGGCATTAAGCAAAGCATCAGAGCATTAAGATTTTTATAGGAACGGTACAGAGCTCAGACCCATTCCCCAGCTGCACAGAATGGAGATGTACATCAATCTCTTTGGGTGATAAACATACACAGAAAAAAACCTCTCACCATAAAACTATTTCTAGTCCTTTTTAAGGTATTAAACAGAATTAGAAGCAGCTGTTTGATTATTGTAGCTAACGTCACAAAAAAAGTAATGTCTATCATTTCAAAATTCTATCCCCGCTTTCTCACATGCATTACACAATTAACACAGGGGGTGTCATCCTCTCCTTTCAAACAAAAATATCTACATTTGACAATGACTTGTCAGATTTAGTACATTTATTTCTCCACAGAACAAGCACAATTTAAAGTTCTGAATCAGTGCTACTTGTAGCATCTTTAAAAATTGCTATTGTTTCATTTCAAATTTTAAGAGATGGAGATCTATCATTGGCCACAGATGTCTCCACACTCAAACCAAGCTCCACCATGTTGGCCCCATGTTTCTATACTGTGATTTTGCTGGAAATCATATCATCAAGATTGTGATTTATCTAATCCCTTCCACAATCTCACATTTCCCTGGCTCTCTGAGCACATCTGGCCTTTTGTACATTCCCACCCTCCCTTAGTGGCTTATCAAGCTTTCTACCTCAAGACCTGATGTCTGCTCCATTTCTCCATGTTCCTATCTTTTCCGCAATATAACCCAACGTACAGTGTTTATTATATTTACATTTTATAGAAATGAAAGACATGACGTAATTATGCAAGACAGTGGATGAAATAGAGTCTACAGATAAACATCAACATAATATTCAGATCTTCCATTCCAAGTTGCATATCCCAGTTCCCACGCTACAAGGAAATATGACGTGGCTTCAGTGTCTTGGCACCAGAATGCCAGAATATTTGAGATACGCTGTGCAGCTTCGAGCAGTGAATATCACTGACAGAAGTCCAGAAGGCAGGGTCAGCCTTGACACAAGTGACATGTCAGAGGAACAGAGCAAGAGGTTTGCTAGATTTACAAAATAGGAGAAACCGTTTGCACCAGGTTACAAAACAGTAATTTAGTTGAGTGCAAAAACAGAAATTGCTTTTGCAATTTGCTTTTCCTACAAATGCATAACTGAAGAAGGGTTACTGAACCCAAAACATTATTTCTGCTTTGTCTTCATAGATGCTCCCCAACCTGAGTTTTTTCAGTACTTTCTTTTTTCTTCCTGACTACCAGCATCTGCAGTTCTTGGGTTTTTATTGCTTTCCCTAGCTCTGGTTGAATGGAGAAAGCTATGTGGAATAAAATGGAGCACTATGAAAATGTGTCAGCAACACATATATAATTTTGTCTGTAGTTACCACAAATATATATTTCATTTAAAAAATTATACTGCAACAATCCCTAAACAAAATTAGTTGGGTAGTCCAGTAAAGGTTTCACAAGGAGAGACAATTCATTTGGGGCAAATTTGCTACCTAATAATTCTAGATCACTTGAAGCCTAGAACTTATTTACATACCTTCAAATTCTTACAAACTACAGGTTCACAGCAATTTGTCAATTATGTGGGGATAATTTTAAATTCCACAATTTCATCATTCATAAGCTGCAAACATTTATTGTACATTAGTTTATTTCACAGAGGGCTGAAACACAACAAAACATGCACAAAACATTAAATTCAAATGCATACATTACTCTTACAAATCCATTTATCAATGGTGCCTCATTCATTTGCAACAGAAAAACTGCAAGACTAATTCTGACTTCTCCAGAAGCACTTGGAAGATGAGAGGATTTCTACAGCATTCCCACACTAAAACTCTCACTGATCAGAATTAAACAGATAAAACGCAGGAGCATATACTCATCTTTCTACACTTCTAATTTTACCTTCTGATCCCAATAACTAACCCAACCTCTAAACAAACATCTTCAGAACAACTACCTTGATCACTGGGTCTCTACATTAACAGTGCTGGGTTTTTTTTCTTGCATTAAGTCTTTTAATTATTTCCTCAAAGTGCAAGCTCCCTCAAACTATGCACGGAAATACACAGCTGCCAACCACTGCACTGGAAGAATCACAAGTACAACCAGGAGTTGCTCAATAGTCATAGTCGTACAACATTGAATCAGGCCCTTCGGTCCACCTTGAGGCAAATAAAACCTGCAATTGGTGGTAGTGGACTGGCTGCAGCCATTTGCCCTGTGGTTTTGGCAGCGCTCAGTCTGTGATATTTCTGCCCAGTCTGATTACACAGTAACAGGTTGAGAAAATTTGTCAATCGATCAGACGTCAACATTGAGGAGCACGCTATGCTGGTCTCTACTGATCAGGGGCATTCAGGTCAATATAGATCGGGGACATGGTGAATGTTATAGATAACACAAGAATCAGTCGGTCCGTGAGGATGTTGTAAACATTGAAATAATTTATATTCTGACAGCCACTGTTTCCGAGGTTATGTTCATTCAAACTGCAGCCTCCGCCCACCAATTAAACTAAAACAGCTACGAACAGCCGGAACGCAGGGCCCGGGCCCGAGAGCAAAAGGCCGGGGACCGAGTACACTCTAGAACACCGCCAGGGAGAGGTTCTATCAGCGGCACGGCCAATACTTGAGGAGGCGTTAAAACTCGAATCCCGGTATGCGTTCGAGAAGTGGGGAGGGCGGGGAAAGAAAAATAACGGGTGAAGACGCCTACCTTCCGTTCGTCACCGACTCCACTCCCGCTACAGCCCGCACCCACAGTTCGACAGCAAAACCCAGAGCGAGACTACGAAAGGGAGGGGCGGGGTCACGAGGGTGGGGCGGGGTCACGAGGGAGGGGCGGGGTCATTCGGTGATGAGATGTATAGAGGGTGGGGCGAGATCGGGAGTAAGGGGGCGGAGTCAGAATGGAACCCGTTCCAGGAGAGGGACGGGGTCACAATGAAGGGCGTGGTCATTAGGGAAAAGCGTGGTCAGAAGCGCGGGGCAGGGTCAGAGTGGAGGGGCAGGGTCAGAGTGGAGGGGCAGGGTCAGGAGGAGGGCAGGCGATATAGAGCGTGGTAAGTGGGTGATGTAAGCAATGGGCAGGGCTTAAACGTTGTGGAGGGGCAGGTAGACGGGTGTCCCACGTGTAGTAAGGGGCCGTTGTCCAAGTCAGGGCCGACTCCGGTGAGAATTAGTGTGGGTAAAGGGAGAGTGTGTAACGGTGAAGGTGCGGAGCCTGGTGTGTGTACAGCGGCCGGGCTCACTGAATGGTTGCGCGAGGAGATCGGGATGTGGGAGGGACAGGGCCTGCGGGTGGGGAATAGGAGGGCCTAAGGAATGGGGCGCGACCATTTGGCGGCAGGGTCCGGAAACTTGGGATCCCGCATGTACAGTTCTAGCCCCAGCAATTATAGAACAGGATAGACGGGCAGATTGGCCGCGGGCTATGATTGCATTCACAGTTCACATTTAATTTGCACTTTTGCGGTACCAAATCTGTCACATTGCAATTTGGTTCTACAGTGAGCTCAGATTTATTAAGGTACGAAAGGAACATTCGACCCTTCGAGTCTGCAGTAGGTCTCTGAAAAATCCTTCATTCATTCCAAATGATTTCTCCTGGCGGATGCTTCATAGCCCCGCTAGTTTACATAATTCTCTTATTTGACCTTCCTCTAAAGATGACCACGTTCATCCTGTGGGTGTTTCTTTCAGCTGGGTAGATAGAGGTGGCTGCTGCCTTGGTTTTTCTCTCTGCACCTGACATAGATGATATGGAAGTGCCAATGTTGGACTCGGGTGGATAAGGTCAGAAATCACACAATACCAGGCTATAGTTCAACAGATTTATTTGAAAACACAAGATTTCAAAGCATAGCCCCTTCATCAGGTAAAGTGAGAAAGACACAGACACAGAACACTGAATTTATAAGTAAAAGATCAAAGGGTCACACCACTGAAGAGGATGTAGTAAACAAACTTAAGATGTTTTTAAATCTTTAAGTGGTTAGAAAGTTTTAATTGATTAATATGTAAAATAAATCCCCAAATTTCTGTCAAGTCACTGCCCTGAGAAAACTGAAGGTTTTATTAATGTGAAAAGGTTAGGTGTGAGGTCTTATTTAGAATCGGTTTGTGTTTTGGTTTGCAGTGAGACTGGTTTTATTTTTAAAGTAGGAATTTATGAAACACCACCTTGATTGTCTATAAATTGTGTGCTTTTTGAACAAAATAGAATATATCTGCGAATACAAATTCACACCATAGATTTATACGTTGGGGTGGGGGGGGGGGCAAGAAGGGTGTTTTTGTTTGTTTGTTTGTTGGTGTGTGTGTGGGGGGGGGGGAAGAAGAAAGGGAAAAGGAGAGAGTGTGTGTGTGAATCTGACTGAGTGAGAGAGAGAAAATGTATCATGCAGTAGGATCACCTGTAGTACAACATGAACCCAAGATCCTGGTTGAGGTCGTCTTCATTGCAACCAGACTTGGCTATCAGCCTCTGCTTGTGGAATGCCCTGCCTGCAAAAGTAATGGACTCGCCAACTTTAAGGGCATTTAAATGGTCATTGGATAAACATATGGATGATAATGGAATAGTTTAGGTTAGATGGGCTTCAGATTGGTTTCACAGGTCTGTACTGCGCTGTAATGTTCTATGTCCTATGCTCAGAACTGTGGTGTTATGAATCCCAAAGTCCGCTTTGGAGGACGTTTACCCAAAGATCTGAAGCCGAATGTCCTCGACTGCTGAAGTGTTTCTAAGTCTAGGGATTTTAAGAAAAATTAACACCAACACATCATCTACCTTATGAGCCACCTCTAAGACTCTAGGATGAAGTCCATCTGGGCCCAGAGACTTGTCAGCGCACAGCTCTGTTAGTTTATTTATGACTGCTTCCCTTGTGATTATAGTTTTGCTAAGTTCCTCTCTCCCTTCTACCACCTGATTTATAGCATTTCTAGAGTAATTCAGTCACTTCAAATCTTCAAACAATGTTAAAAACAAAAAAAATCCAATAACTCTTGTCATTGTAAAATCAAAGAGGTACCTCCACTCTTCTCCACAATCACCTTCTTTCATCCTCTTACACAATTCTGTCCTCTAACCCGATGGCCAGAACAGTCAGTTCCACTCCGTATCGAGACATGAGATTCATTTGAAAGCGAGAATGGCTTTAGAATAATTTTATTTCTCCAGTCTGAAAGCTGTGGATCTATGAACCAGCTCTGACTTTTCACTACCTCATGAATCTATCTCTAATGCACTACATGACCATCTGACATCAGATCCTGTATGAGTCAATGTTTTCATCAGCTGACTTATTTTCAGTTCTCCCTCCTGCCAAACCTCCAAAACCGATGAGAAGAGGTGCTTGGTCAGTGGGAATACAATTAATACTTTTTTCTTAAACAGATGTTAAAGTGACAAAACTTAAGTTTGACATGTGATGTCAAAAGTTGTGGCAAATGTACATAAAACTGTCGCCTTGTGTAGTGAGGAACGTGATCTCGAAAAATGAAAGAACAACACTCATGGAACAGCGGGTAGTATTGAGGGGAAAGGGTTAAAGCCTATTGTTGGAATTTAATCCAAATGACCATTTATGTCTGCTTTCAGAAGGCCGTTGGCAACATTCCAAACTGGTTGATTCTGAGTCATCACGTCATCTCTTTTGGTAGGCAGAACTTCAAACTAAACAACAAAAACGACTAAGTTTAAAGTAACATTTTTAGAGAAAGTAAATGAGACAAGGAAATTCACACTACCACCTTCTCAAGGGCAATTAGGATTGAGCAATAACCGCTGACAAGCCAATGATGCCACATCCTATAAATGAATTAAAAAGGTCAAGTTTGTGTACAGCTTGAAAGCTGCAAACTTCAGCATGAAAAAGCTGAAATGTTAATAAGTTTGGGGGAAAAAACCCATAATTTCAGTTACATCTTTGCCAATCGGTGTTTTACTTCAGAAAATTGAAGGAGGTGTATATTTTCAAGAATGTTTCATTATGTCCCAGCAATGCTTTAAAGTAAATAAAGAAACTTTGTGTGCTGCTTTTCGTGATCACTGGATGTCTTAAAATGTTTTATAGGCAATGAAGTACTTCTGAAGTGTAAAGTAGTATTGTTGCAACGTGGGAAACACAACAACAAATTTTATGCACAGCAAGATTTCACAAAAGCAGCGTGGAATAAAAAACACCATGTTATACTTAGTGGGTTAGAGTTAGGGTGTGATTGTGTTATGGGCCAGACCAAATCCCTTCTAATATATCAAGGAGATAGCCTAGACCCTAATCCTATTTAAAGGCAAGTGTAAGGTGCTGTGTTCCAGATGTAATTTGATTGTTTGCACTACCCACCTTTAAGTAAAATACACTTGATTCATACCCTATAGTTAAAATACAAAGAAGAATTGGAATAACAAGTCTACTGGAAACTAAGCGAATAATAGATTTAACGAGTAAACAGCAACTGTTCTAATATGGTAACATCCCATAGTAACACCCTTGGCAACAGCCATGTCAGTGAAACAGATTGTCTCACATGCGATTCTGGCAGCAAGAAGAGAACCCAAGCTTTTAGCTGCAACAGAGAACATATTCTGGCAGAGAGGGAGGGGGAGATTCCATAGCCAACTACAAAACTCTAACTACTGAAAGCCAAACGAAAACCCTGGTTCTGTGGCAGCCTGACTTCACCCATTCATGCTGCTTGTACTGTTCCAACTTTTTAAAAAAACCCAAGGCCTCACGAGCTGTTTAATGGTGTGGAACAGATTGATTGACACCTCTGTCTCAACATCACTTCACACAAAAAAGAATGAACGCAGGATAAATATACCTCTTCAGGCATAGTGTCATCACAATGAAGATTAGGTGTGGGGTTAGTGGGGTGCTAATTGGGGGATAGTTCCTTTATTCTTCTTCAATATAGTGTCATGGGACTACAGTTTAATGTCTCTTCCGACAGTTGCACCTCCAACAGTGCAGCGTTTCCTCAGTACCGCAGTGCGCAGTTGCACGCTCAAGCCCTGGGAGGGCACTTGAATCTGGAATCTTATGACTCCAAGGTTAGAGCAACCAAGTGTATCACAACCAAAAGTGGAAACTATAAAATAATAACAAAATGCAAATCATTATTATTTTAAACATCACTGTACCAATTATTCCTCAAATTCGAAAATAGCATAAGGAAATGTTAAGATTTCAGTTTAACAATGCACAAGCAGGTGTGAAGGAGATAAGACACTGATGAACCAAACAGCTTCCTCCTGCTCCTATTTCCACTTAAAACAGATCATCATTTTGGGGTAGTAAGAACCAACGGTGGAGTCAGAGACAGTGTGGAGCTGGAGGTACACAGCATGCCAGGCAGCATCAGAGGAACAGAAATGATTTTCTGAAGAAGGGTCCTGACCCGAAACGTCAGCTTTCCTGTTCCTCTGATGCTGCCTCATCATTTTCGGTGTGTCTTTCAACAAACCTCAGAATCTCTGTTCTATTTCAGATTCCCACATCTGCATTTTATTTTACCAATATTAGAAACTATTTAGCTCAATAAAACTACTGAATATTTCTAAGCTATATGTAAGTATCTTCGCTTTCCTTCAAATCTGGGTTATTGTAAATGGAAAACCAACAGGGAAAAGCTACCATAATAAGAGGTCACTGCACTTGGAGGACAACACAGACTCTTCCATAACATGAATTAACATTCTGGTGTGAACCAGAGTGCTGGAGCAAAATTTACCTAAAAATCACCAAATAGCTTTACCATAAAATTGAAACTATATTGTATAGATTAAAATGTAGCCAGCTCATTAAGGAGTTTCAATATAACTCTCATCCTAAACACCAATGACAAGAGTCAAAAACACAAGTAACTTACCTCGTCTCTTTCCCTATGACCCATCCATGTGACAGTGCTTAGGTGAGGGGAATGTCCATGACTTCTGAAATCCAGTTGTCACTTGTAGCTTAAGAACAGCCCACAGCAACCAGTCCCAACAATTTCCTCCTTCCCCTGTGGGAAAAGGGTGGTCTATCTTTGTTTAGTTCCTTAGGACCACAGTAGGTGGGGTAGCCAGGAATATGGAGCAATCAGATCAGCAACAATCTTATTGAATGGTGGAGCAGTTTGAAGGGCCAGGTGGCCTCCTTCTGCTCCTAATTTGTATGTTTTAGTATCCAACAACTGAAATCCACAGTGGCTCAAACACATACTAACATTTGCACAAAACACACTTCAAATCTGAAGACTGGCACTATATCATACTAATTGAAAAAAAATTGTACTGCAAATGCTGGAGATCTGAAAAAACAACATGCTGGATAAACTCAGCAAGTCTAGCATCTGCAGAGAAAGAAATAATAAGCATTTTGAATGTGATATGGTTCTTTAGAGCATAAAGAAAACCACATTCACCTGGCTGAACATTCATGTCTAACTACTGTCAACATTTTAGTGGCCCATAATTTGAGATTTAAAAGCAATCCTTTTTGACTGACAGAGGTCTCACTTTTCACTCCTCCTCCTCTTTAGTTGTTTTTTTTCTGAAAAAAGGAAAACAATCTGGTTTGGCAACATGTAGTCTTGTGCACTTGTAGCCTAGGTTTAATTTCAACTGAATAGTCTACTAATTTGTCCTTGTCATTTAATTCGTAGATAAAGCTTGTAAACACTGTAGTAGGATGAATCTAGGATTGAATTATTTAGTGCTGGAGCACTGCAGATGCTAGAATTAATTTATCAAGACTAAACATTCAATGTCAGGTTGAAGTTAAATACAGGCACCTTGTTTTTTTCAAAAAGGGCTGGTACTTTGGAGCAAACTTCATTTCATTCTAGTGTCAAATAATGTAATTGAACTCATTGGATTTATACTACAACTCTGATGCTGTCTGTTAAGTAAACATGTTTTTAATCTAGTACCAGTGTCCAGTTTGATGATAGAACAAAAAGATACACCACGTTAGGCAGAGTTGTACCTGCCTTCTTAAATTTGGGCTTTTACATGAGCACCAAGTTTGAGGTGTTCAGTGTTTTAGACTATTGTATGATGGCAAACCGGAGTGTGAGTGTATATTGGTCAGTTTCTGGTATATCAAATATGCCAAACACATTATTTGGAATGTAATTTACCTTTCAGAGATTTGGCCAATTTATTGTGTGCTTTATGGAAACACATATGAAGTAATTATTCCAGTTTACAAACTCAAATGATGTCTGCACACCACTCAAGCACTGACAGATGAAGTAAGATGATCGATATCCAGACCTGATTCTCTTTCCACAGATGCTGCTGGACCTGCTGAGCTTCTCCAGCATTTTGTTTGTTTTAGGCAAGGGAGTAGACTGTTTAGAGACCTGTACTCCCTGACCAGATGGCTCACATTGCAGTGCAGTACAGTAAGTAAACTCAATTGTGAAAACTTACTTTTACTTAAACTTTGACTTTCTGTCCTTTAGTGGTGACAGAGCTGACTTATAAGAGAAAACTAGTTAGCCAGTTATGGCAGTGGTTCACAAAACATGGTCTGTGGATCACCACAGTCAAAACCATAAACAAGAAAACTTACATCCTCATAACATCTCACATAACATCTGACCAGCCAGACTCCCACATGATCAACACAATTTATTATAAACCAGAGAAAGAACTACTTTACAAAGAGAGTTATTTTACTGTTCATTTTATTAGATTAATATAGATACAAGTGTTAGTTTTTCAATTTACAGTGATTTTTTTGTAACATTAGGATGTTCCAAATAAACATGTTGTCTTGCAGTACTAATATCTAATTGTGTGAAAATGTCTATACATTACTTTACGTTATGAACAATCTTCATTTTACTTAAAAATTAATGCATGTAAATTATGTATACTAGTGAGAAAGCAGTGAAAATATTTTTAATTTCCACAAGTTCCCAGTAATTCTAATGAATTTCTTTTTGTGGTGGAAAGTGAAAGTGTTTGGGGTGGGACTGATTTTGGCCTGTTGGGTTCTTTTGGTCTGTTTTGATGATGCAGACAAAGATGCTCAAGAACCACTGGGATGTAAACAAACTCAACAACTTCAAAAGTTCCTATATCATGAAACATTTAGACTTGTGAATAGGAACATAAGCGTAACTTGTATAGAACAATCTTTCCCTCAAGTACAGAAATCATATGACAGACAACAGATATTAAAATAATCAAGAAGCCTGGAATGCCTTCTAGATCTGAGAGATGAACATGAGCACCGCTGAGGAGGAGAGGTGACATTCAATTACAAATCATGGTTGAAAGCATGAGGGAAATAAAACCTCAGCATCATTGATTAAAAAAAAATTGAGAGCTCTTGCTTCTGATTGATACCCAATGACCTTGGCCAAGGTAAAAATCCAAGCCCCAACAACTGTATGAGTTCTACTGGATTGCCGATTCAAGCTGAAATATCATCTGCATAACTATATATCAAAACAGTTTAATAAGTACCATAAAACTGTAGACTGATCCAATTCTGAAACTATTATTTCAGTTGATTAGGAATATAGCATAGTCCCAGAGGACTGCCCTCTCATTAGAGACACACGACTGGTGGTGGTTTAATGAGAGGGTCACCATGCCTCAGGCAAGGGATGAGATCGAGAAGGAGAGTCCTTCCTGGTAACTCCGGCTGGGGTGATAATTAGCAATACAGTTAAAAGATTATTATATTTTCAGAGCATTTATTCAAATCATTGCAGAGCAATTGAGTTGTACAAATACAGCATACGGAACATTTTTTCTGAAGAAACCCATATAAAGCATGAAAGTTGTATATTCTTACAGCAAAATAACTTTCCTTCATCATCGTGGCCCTGTAATGAAGAATGTTTTGTACTCTTGTACCAGTCACATCAAAATCCCTAGTACAGCCTCATGTGTGGTCAACAACATGCAATACTGTATTCCCAGAGAATACAGTCAAGGGAGAGGAACGATTTATGAACTTGACTGAACATCAAACAGGCCACAGCTTGGATCAGTTAAGCATCAAAAATATTACCTCAATATTAATCCCAGTATACCACCCTTAAAATCCTGTTAATTTTTCTGAGAAAACTTTCCAAATAACATAAATGTTGCCTTCAAGGCTTCATAAGGAAATGGGCTATTCAGGCTGTCCAAACTAATTTAACTTCAGCCACTATACAACAGACAAGGGAAAGATACCTCGCATTTCCAATCCAGCTGAATACAAAAACTTACATTCTAAAGAAGATTCTAAACTAGCTGGTGTTTTCTGAAGGGTTTAGATAAAAAAAAACAAATGAAAAGCTATATCTTCAGCATAATTTATAACAAAAATACCAGATGGCAAGGAAGGAACTAGAGAGGCACACATTGTTACTTTTAGGCCTGTGTATAGATAAAAGGCTGTCATTAAGTAAACTCAGAATTGCACTGCAGTTCCAACCATTCTACAACTAATCTAGGTAATGCATATATTCCATAATTCCATGTAATATTTAGTACTCCTATTTGTGTTGCTACTACCATCTGTTCAGTTTCATTATCTCCATCGATGTCAGCTGATGTAACTTAGAGCACTGATACTTGTTTCAATTTCTGTTAGTTTGTTCAGGAGCTGGTTCACTTTGGTCTCATTCAACTCCAAGCAGAGAAATTCCGATTCCTAAGACAGATAAAAACAGACTAAATGATGGTCATTTTTAAATACGGTAAAAGGATTAAATGTTAATCCCTAGATGTTTAGTGTCTTTACTCCTTTCATAATTAAGGAAGTGATCACACTGGAATCACACAAGACAAGATTTCGGATATGTGAAGTCATTTCTAAGGGCTGAGACTATCAGAATTCGAATTTTGCCTCCTCAAATTTCAGTCAAGATAGCTGGGTAACAATTATAGTACAAATTCTGGACACAATTTCTCTTAAACTGGGAAGCCACTGAGGAACGTAGGAGTAGGATTAGGCCATTCAGTGCCATCAAACCTGCTCTGCCATTCAATACAATCATGGCTGATCATCCACTCCAGTGCCTTTATCTTCACACGTTATGCTGATTTTTCTTTACATCGTTGGCATTTAGAAGTCTGTAATCTCTATTTTTTTTAAAAATGGCAGATGGTGGAATTTGAATTCAATAAAAAAAAATCAGGAATTAAAAAGTCTAATGGTTCAAGATCAATGATGGCAATGAACCAACACCGTCCTCATCCCAAAAGAAAATGCACTCTCGGGATAAAGAATTCCAAAAGTTCATAATCATCTGTGTAAATAAAATCTCCTTCTGTCGTTCCCAAGTGGCTTCCTGCTTATTTTTAAATTGTGTTCCTTAGTTCTACACTCGCCAGCTGGGAGAAACATCTTACCCTGTCTATCCCTTTAAGTATTTTGTATGTCTCAATCAGATCACCCCTCATTCTTCGAAACTGTATAGAATATAGTCCCAGTCTGCTCAATTTCTCTTTGTAGGACAGTCCTGCCATTGTGGGAACAATACCGGTAAACTTTTGTACTCCCTGTATGGTAATAATATACTTCTTGCGGTAACAGGACGACATCCATACATAGTACTCCAAGTATGATCTAAATAAGTTCCTAAACAATTGAAACAATACTTCAATACTCTTGTATTCAAATCCTCTTGCAATAAAGGCTAACATTTCTTTAGTCTTCTTACTAGCTTGCTGCACCTACGTTAGCCTTCAGTGACTTATCAAGAAGGTCACCCAGCTCCCTTCACACATGTATACCTTCCAATCTCTCACCATTTAAGAAATATTCTGTATACCTGTTCCTCCTATCAAAGTGGATAACCCTGCCTTTTTCCACATTATATTCCACCTGCCATTGTCTTGCCTACTCACCTTGCTTTAATGTCACCCTCTGAACTTGGAAAAATTACATTAGGTCTCCTATGTCCCAATCATTGATATATGTTGTGAACAGCTGGAGCCCAAACACTGATCCTTGCGATATCCCATTAGTCAGTCTGCCAACACGAGAATGATCCACTTATTCTTACATTGTTTTCTGTGTTAGCTGATCCTTAATCCATGCCATTAAGTGACCTCCTTTCCCATGTGCTTTAATTTATTGACCAAACTCCTCTAGAATATTTATCACAATGATTTTTCATACAAACCCAACTAGTTTTTAATGAAATTGCCATTTTCTAAAGGCCAGATATTTTTCTTATATAAAAGTGACAACAATATTGCCAATTGATATCTTCACTCAAAGTAAACAGCAAGTGAGCCTACAGCAAGGTGACAAGTCTCCTGACACTGGTGTGGTGTAATAATCTCATCACTGGTGGAGACTGCAGAACCAGGGCAAGCTGCAAGTAGCACAGCATTATTCATACAGTGACCACTAGGATTAACAAAGGAATGACTGAACAGGAATATTTTATAGAACACCCACACCCAATCAGAATGAGAAGTGGAATCTATCCGAGCCAAAAGAAAACCCAGAATGATAAATTTGTACAAATTAAACGAATATTTTATTTTTCATAAATCAGTAGGATTTCTTATTTTACAGGATGCAATGGTCAGAGCACAATGTTCAGCACAGATTAAAAACAAATAAATTTGTACTCTTCTAAAACTACCATTAGCTGCAAGTCCTCCACACACTATTCAAGAAATCCAGTTTAACAAGTTACATTTACATTGTATCTTCAACATAGAAAAATATCTCAAAAGGTGTTTGAATGTAGAGTCACTAAAAAATAGCTGAGCTAAAGTGATATACTGGCAACTAAAACCTTGGTTAAAGAGTTGGGATTAAGGAAAGCTGGCGGGGGTGTGGTGGTGCAGGGGTTTGGGATGGAAGGGTTTTGGGGAGGGAATTCCACAGCGTATAGCTGAAGTTGGTACAGCTGTTGATGCTGAAGTAATTGGGTTCAACAGAACGACAATTGGAGGATCAGTGAGTTTGGAGAAGGGTTTCACCCAGTTAGAGAGCTGGGTGTGGCAAGGTTTGAAAGGGATTTAAACAAGAGATTGAGCATTTTAAATTGAAGGTGTAGGAGAATGGGATAAAGTAGTGGGTGGAGCCAGTGAGAATGAGAGACGAACAATGGGTGAGGAAAGCAGTGAGAGAGATAGGGAACAATCTGAATAATTGTAGAAGCAGAATTTTGAATGAGCTGGGATTTCAATTACGAGATGCTCCCAAACATCTAAATATTTATATACTTAAGATTCGAGAAAACAAGTGTATTTTTCCCTGAAATTCCACACAACAGGACAAGCTTCCCCTTTTGATAATATACACAGATGCTTCAGTTAAGCTTGCTTAATAAACCTTTCACTCTATACAATACATGATATTCAAGGACTAAGCATTTTTAACTTTAACTCCTGTTATAGGGATAATATTAGAAGCTGTTATTAAAGAAGTTAGAGCTGGGCACTTGGATAAGATCAAGGTAGTCCAGCAGATTCAACTTGGTTTTGTGCAAGTAAAGTCACGTTTGACCAATCTGTTGGAGTTCTTCAAGAAGGTAACACATGCTGTGGATAAAGGGTCAATGGGTTGTACTTAGGTTTCCAAGAAACATTTGATAAGGTGCCAGGTCAAAGGTTACTGTGGTAAATAAAAGTTCTTGGTGTAGGGGGTAGAAGGTTGACTGGCTAACAGGAAGCTGCCAATAGATGTAAATGGGTCTTTTTCAGGTTGGCAAGATGCATCAAGTTGTGTGCCACAGAGGTCTGTGCTGGGACCGCAACTATTTACAAATTTATAGAAGTATGATTCAGATGAAGAGCCTGACGGTATGGTTGCCAAATTAGCTGACGACACAAAGACATGTAGGAAAGTGAGTTCTGAAGAGGACATGAGGCTACAAAAATACATTAGAAAATAGATTAAACAATTGAATAAAAATGTGGCAAATAGTGTAAAATATGGGAAAAGTGAAATTGTCCATTTTGACAGCAGGAATAAAAGCAGCACATTATCTAAACACAGACAGTTCAGAGTTCCAAGGTGCAGAAGGATTGTAGTGTTTTTGTGCACAAAGCACAAAAGGTATGCAGGTACAGCAAGTAATTAAGAAAACTGATAGAAGGCTTATTATGTTTTTGTTAGGAGGAACTGAATACAACAAACGGGAGTAAAGCTGAAAGAACTGCAGATGCTGTAAATCAGAAAAAAAAAGCAGAAATTGCTGGAAAAGCTCTGCAGAGGTCTAGCAGCATCTGTGAAGAGAAATCAGAGTTAACGTTTCGAATCTGGTGACCTTTCCTCAGAACCTCTTCCATTCACTGAAGAATAACAGAAACTTGGTTGAAACATACAAAATCAGAAGGGGTCTTGGCAGGATGATTGAGAGCATATTTCTGCATGAAGGAGAATCTAGAACTAGGGATCATAGTTTAAAAATCAGGGGTGGCCCTTTTCCTGCACCGTTGAGTATTTCCAGAAGCTTTTGCTTTTGTTTTGAGATTTCAACTCCCATAATATTTGTGCTTACGTTAAGCAGTTTAATTGTTTATCTGGTAGATTCAACAAACAATTCTGCATAAAAGCCACCATTGCAATTTCACTGTAATGTCCACATTCCTAATACAAAACTACAAGACTATAGCAGCATGGTGGCTCAGTGGTTAGCACTGCAGCCTCACAGCGCCAGGGACCCGGGTTCAATTCCACCCTCAGGTGACTGTCTGTGTGGAGTCTGCACATTCTCCCTGTGTCTGCGTGGGTTTCCTCTGGGTGCTCCGGTTTCCAGTCCAAAGATGTGCAGGCCAGGTGGATTGGCCATGCTAAATTACCCATAGTGCCCAGGAATATTTAGGTTAGGTGGGTGAGATATGGGAAAATGCAGGGGTATGGGTATGGGAGGGATGCTCTTCAGAGGGGCGGTATGGACTTGTTGGGCCAAATGGCCTGTTTCCACACTGTAGGGATTAAACACCAACCTAACACATGGAAGTAAAATAGGGTGGACTCTACTCCACAGGCAGCAAAACTCACCACAAGCAGAGCTCGTCACAAATATGACTTTGGTTTCTCTCCATGGAATTTAGCCAATGTTTTCCAAGAAGCTAATAAAACTCATTCAGCAGTGGTTGAGAGAAGAATAAACAGTTAACAATAATGGAATCATCAACCCTTTAGATTGTTGCAGGGATACTGTTACACTTTTGATAGGTTTTCATAATAAGGCAGTCAAACCAAGTAAGTGCCCTGACTGAAGCAAAGGCTCTTGAATAATAATTGGAATACTGTAGTAGCACTACACACAATCAGCCAACACTGCATAATGATCCCACAATTCCTGCATTAAAAAGTTAGGATTTGTTGTCTTGGAACATCCTTTGCAAAGGAGATAACAAGGTGTAGAGCTGGATGAACACAGCAGGCCAAGCAGCATCAGAGGAGCAGGAAAGCTGACGTTTCGGGCCTAGACCCTTCTTCAGAAAGATATTTGCCAACTACATGGCACTTGTATCAATCAGGGAAATTAACACATTTTCATTGACACTTAAATCCTGCAATGTTGGCTTTAGTGTACAGTAGATAATGAAACATCACAAGCAATACATCATTAACTGTACAGCATCTGTGACCCTTCACCTAGTGTACAAACTTCATAATTGAGGAGGGAGGGAAAGGAAGCCTTGTCTTTACTTTCGAGGTGAAATATTTCATTT